CAAAGAGGTCTAAGCCTTGGCCTTTTCCAGAGACCAAGTTTAAAAAATCCCACTTATTTTAGGCAGGAAGACCTTCCCCTCTGTCTTGCATTCTTTTCCATCTCTCTGTTTATCTTGAGATCCACCGAGCTTTTTCTGGGATTGAGGGAGCAGAACTGTGCCTGGTCCTGGGTGTGGGTTCCTCATACCTTTGTGATTGTGGGGGAAGTGGGAGTAGAATCACTGCTTTCAGCACTTTCCTGCTAAATGGTAAACAGATTCAGTACATTTCATGGGCAAAGCCAATTCAAAGCCAGCAGACCGAATAACAAAATTCATTCCGAGCAGAGGGCTGGTAACTGAAATTCCAGTGGGAAGCTAACTTTTCCCACAGGGTCTACAATTCTAGGAAATAATGGAGAGTGGCCAGCCATTCCATTATTTATAATTTCCTCTAGAAAATATTTATTAAGTACCTACTATGTGCACAGAACCAAGCAGAGCGTTGTGAAGGATGAATTAGACATGCTCCTACCCCCAAGAAACCTGCCCTCTGGTGGTGGGAAAGGGGGTTAACATCTTCATCGATTGTCTAATTCCAAGCACTACTGTGAGCTGTAAGAAAATGTACACCTTAAAAGAATATGGGAATTCAGACAGGAGAAGTCATTTCTCTCTGGGGCTTGGAGAAGGCTTCCTGAATATGGAAATTGCTGAGTGAGACCTTGGAATGTGGGTGGAATTTTAACTATTAGACAAGGCAGCAAGGTGTGGGGTGGGGGAGTATTACAGAATTAAAAGGACAGGCAAATATGCAAAGATGGGTGAAGACCAAAGCACAAACATGTCCATATAATTAATAGGATTCTCCTTTCACAGATAAAGAAACTGGCATTTACAAGGTGAAACGACCTGCCGAAGGCCCCTTGAGCTCAGGACTATGTGACGACAGGGCTACTGCTTCTCTATGCCTCTCTGTCTCTTGTGAGTCTCCCAGATCTTTAGGTTAAAGATGCTGCCCTGACCAAGAAACGCCAAACCCAGCCTCATCAGGTGCACTCTGCTTCCATAAGTTCTCAGAGGTGCTCACTGGTCTAGGATCAGCAACAGTGCCGTGTTTGACACTCTACTCACCAGTACCGTATTAACTCACCATGTGCCCTTAGTAAAAGCATCTGATAGCTATGGGGTTGAGTTCGCTCACCTATGCTATGACTGTTCTGGAGATCTGAAGCTCAGCCCTTCCAGAAAGTTCTGCATGCTTGCACTCAGTCATGGAGGATTTCTAACCCAGCCGCCTTTGCAGTGTGGGGTTATTTCCTTGCAGGCAATTCTGTGTTGAAATGGTCTTGGTTTAGTGATGTTGTCTCTAAATTCTCCTGCCCCTCTGACAAGCCTAGCAGCTGCACCTGTCTGGCCCTCCTCTGGTTCTCCTCAATGCCCTACCCTGTCTCACTTACCCATTCAAGGCCAGTGTCCTTGCTGTGCCATGCACATGCAAAACTGTCAGAGCCAGAAATTCTATCTGGGACTGGGATGCAGAGGCTGAATCCCAAAAGCAGGGCTCTTCTACTTTTAATTAAAGACACACAAAGATTCCAAACAGAAAGAAGGACAGGAAGTGAACTTGAATATTTTTATTCAGTCGCATGGCTCTTAAATTACTTTAGATTTCTGTTGCCTTTAGAGAGCTCTCCCTGAACACCCAGGTTGGACTGGATATGTTCTTGCAGCATTAATCATGCAGAGTTTTTGCCCTATTTAAAACTATGTATGTTTCTAAACTGCATTATCAAAGCATTCAGGATTTTAATTGAGCAGGCTTTGATGTTTTCAGAACAAGCCACAGAGTAGAGGTCAGTGGGGGTTGCAGCAAGGGACAAGCATCTGTGTGCCTGGGTTTTTGGTCCCAGGCATCTGAATAGGGCTGGATGAGGTTTCCAGAAACGAGCTGTTAAGACTCTCAGGCATACCATACTTCGAAAATGGCCTTACTCTGGACATTTGGAGGTGCCGAACAATAGAACCATAAACTGAATAGTACCTAAAATTTGCTGACCACTTATTATGTAGCAGAGCCTATGCTTAATGCTCGACTTGCATGATCCTTGAAATCCAGACAACACAACAGCTCTTTTAAAATGGTAACACTACTATCCCTGTTTTATAGTTGAGGAAAACAAGGCTTAGTCATACAGCTAGTAAGTGGCCGAGCCTGAATTTGAACCCAGCAGGGAGACTGATTCCTGAGTTGAAAATCCCAACTGCTCTCTTCTGACTGCCTCTAATTAGATCGGAGCCTCACGTCTCAGAGATCATATCAGCAGTTCTGGTGAGAGCATCAACCACAAAAATATTAGAATTTGAGAAATAAATGGAACCTGAGGAAATGCCTAATGTAAATTTCTCCTTTACAAAGGAGAAACTGAGACCTCAGTGGGAAAAAGTGACCTGGCCAGGATAGGATCCCTGACCATTAGCCTCCCCAGCCAGGGCTCCTTCCAGGTTTCCAAGCTGCCTCCATGAAAGAGTCTTCTGCTGATTAGCATTCCACTGTGCAAGGCAATGAGACGACTCTACTCCAGGGACAAATGCCTGTGGGAACATATGCAGCTGGACCCCTGGACAACTCACACCAGTGTCACAGGCTCTGTGCAGGAAGGGCTGAGTGTCCAGTGCTTTGATAGCTTGTCTTGGAGGTTTACCCATTGGCCCTGAACCTGCTATGAGCCTCAAACAAACATTGTTGTGAGAGTTAAATGAAAGTTAACCCTCACAATAATGTTTGTCAATAAAACACCTGGCACTATGGCAAGCACATAGAAGGGACACACTGAATGCTAGTACCCCCTCTTCTTTTTCTTAGAATCCTAGGAGACAGAAGTAAAGACCTTTGTACTTTGGGAATCCTGCAGGAATTCATCCAGGGTGACCTGGAGTTTTGGGTAGGAGAAGGAAACGGTAGACAGCAATGTCTGAGCTCTTACTCTTTTCCCAGCCCTATGCAAGGAGCCCCATATTCATCGTTCATTTGAACCTCGCATCCTTACAACAGCCTCCTCTGGGTCCCTGGTGGCTGCAGCCAACTCAGTATATGAGGCAGAGTCCCCGCTTCCTCTACTTCCTACATAACCAGTTTCCCTCCAGGAAGTAGTATACAAATTTTATGGATAAAAAACTGAGGCTTAGAGACATGGGGGGACTTGCCTAAGGTCCCAGAGTTAGGGAGTGATGGAGCTGGGATGCACACCCAGACTCCACTTGACTCTAGGGCCTGAGATCTTTCTGTGACACCCAGCTCCCGGGAGGGCCACAGGCATTGAAAATATTTAAAAACAAGCCCCTGAGTTTCCTGCCCCCACAGTCTCCTGGTCTCTGAGACCTCATGGTGGTCAGACAGATGATGAGGGAGAAGACATAGATTTGGTGCTAAAAAGTGTCCCCAGTCAAGCAGCATCCCAGGATCTGTGAGAGGTGAGGGGTAGAATGCCAAGACCTTAGGCTGAGCTTTGCAGACCTGTTCTGCTCAGGACTGGTTAAAGGGCAACAGTCCCTTCCCTCCCAGCAGGACGTGTAACTCAGCTGCACAAATGGGCCAAAGCCTCTTTCTATCTTCTAGGCTGTAAATATTAGAATTTGAGAACCAAATGGAACCCAAGGAAATGCCTAACGTAAATTTCTCCTTTTACAAAGGAGAAACCAAGGCATCTTTTCCCAGCCCTATGCAAGGAGCTCCATATTTATCATTCATTTGATCCTCACATTCTTACAACACCTCCTCTGGGTACCTGGTGGCTGCAGCCAACCCAGTATATGAGGCAGAGTCCCCCCTTCCTCTACTTTCTGCACCCAGATATCTCTCTCCTTGGCGCTCAGCCAGCCTGATGCCTCTGGGAGCTGGACCAGAGGCTGGGACTCCTTCTTCCAGGGAGTTTCAAAGACAGCTTACTTATGGGGATCTCTGTGGTTCCAACCAAGGTGAGACCCAACAAGTTCTAAGAGGAGACTTGTTGTTCACCTGGGGTCCCTTGCCCCATTATACTTCTCATCATCAGGCATATGGGGTAGGAGCTGTAACTCTCACCTGTATCCAGGATGGGGGCTCTGATGGTAGAACTTGAATGTTTAAGAACTTGAATGTTTAATGTCAGGCTACTTAAAATCCTACCACTCATAGTGACATCTGAACAAAAACAAAACCCATCATTTCCTGTTTCCTAACCACTTCCAGCCTCTTTATTCCAACTAACTTTCTAATTGCTGATTAGGAGACCTGCATAGTCCTCCATGGCCCAACACATGGGTCCCAACTTCACCTGGACCCATTTGAAGACTCTCCCACTGGTGGTGAGATCAGCCACGTCTCGGCTGGGGACAGGTAGCGATGGAAGGCAGAAGAGACTCCAGGATATTATGCTTTTTAATCCTTGATGTAAGCTCAGCTCCCAGCCAGCCCTCCACGCTTGCTCCTCCTGACTCCCTGAGCCACCAGGACATGAGCCCTGGGAGTTTTGCCACCTGACAGCAGCTGATTCCTTTTGGCTTGCAGAGGTTTTAGGGGTGCAGACAGACCACTCTCCCCCATGAGGGGACTCGCAGGTCTGCACCTGGTATAGCGGCTTGGGAGGAGTGCGGGAGCACCCTCGCTGAGTGCGCCAACGCCAGCTGTCATGGGAATGGGAAGAGCTTCACCACACTTCCACCAGAGAATCCGGCCACCCCCACCTGTGAACATGTCTCTTCCTTCTGCTCCCAGAGATTTCCCCAGGAGGAGAGTCCCGGCACATGGTGCCCCAGAGGGGTCCAGTCGCCACTGGGGCAAACGTCCACTCTGGCTCCCTCCTCTGGGTGTTCATACCAACCCTCCCGCCGGATTCTCGGTCCTTTGGATACAAGCACCTGTCCCAGCTCCTCGTAGAGAGGGGAGTCTGGACTAAGGGAGCTAGGTGGCACACCCCACGTCAGTGCCCAGCACCCCCAAACCCAGATGGGGGAACAAAAGGAAGAAGGAGGTGGCTTACCTTTCGAGGGTCGCCTTTGTTTGGTTTGCAGAGAAGAGAAGGTGCCCATGACGGCCCCCATGGCAGCGAAGACTTGTGTGCGAGTTGGGACCCCGGGCCTTGCCCCTCCCCATCCCCGGAAAGAAACCCCTGTGGCTTGTCTACTCTGAATTGGAGGAGAGAAGAGCGCCCGGCAGCTCGCCTGCAGCTTGGTATTCAGCGAGCGTGGAGCCGGGGCTGGGAGGCTTCTGGCTTCCTTCTTCAGCCCCGCACATGCGGGGACTCAGGGCCAGGCGCTCCCCGCGAGCCTTCGGAAGCGCTTCCCCGCGCGAGGACCCAGCACGGCGGGTTCCCTCGCCCAGGGCCGAGGACGGTGCCCTGAAGCCTGCCTGGCACTGAACACGGGGCCGGCGCGCCCGCCCGGCCGAGGTTGCCGAGCCAGCGCCGCGTGCGTTGCGGGAGCCGCGGTCCGCCCGCCCCTCCTGCCGCACGCTCGGCTCCGCTCCCGGCGCTCGGGCTGGGTCTCGGAGGGCCGAGTACCAATCATGAATGAACAGAGCCCGGACCGCGCGGCGCGGAGCCACAGCGCGCCCGCCTGCTGCCTGCTGACTGCTGCCAGGGCCCCGGGCGAGAGTCGGAGCGGCGGAGGGGGCGGCGGGCGGGCAACCACGGAGGGGCGGGGTGGGGGTGAGGGTTGCACGGGGGCTGGGGGGGGGGGGAAGCCTGGCCCTGCGCCCGCACCCCTGAGCTCCCGCACCCCTGCGCTCCCGCACCCCTGCGCACCCGCACCGGAGTGGTATGCGTGGGACTCCCAAGAGGATGCGACCCTGAGACAGACCCGGGGCCAGGCACCTGGCTGATGGGTGCCGTTCAGCGGGCAGTAGATTGAGTGGCCCCAGGGAGACACTTTGTGTGTGTGTGCGTGTGTGTGTGAGATGTGTGCGCGCGCACACATCTTTGTGTGTGTGTTCCTGTGTGTGGTGCATTGTGATTTCCTTCTACTTCAAGGGAAATATTTAACCCACTGCCTGAATTCATGGGGTGGGGGAAAGTCTGCCTCACCCACAAAGGGGCGAAGAACACATCCAACTGGGTTGTCATGGGAAGTAAGAAGGTACCCTCCTGCTTCGTGGGTCCTTGAGGGACAGGCAGAATCCTCCCATGCCAGAACCCACCTTCACTAAAAGGGGGAGTTGGGGAGAGGAAAGGAGCCCTCAGCCCTTCTGGGCCCTTGCTCTCTCATTTTTCTTTTCTTTCTTTCTTCCTCCTTTCTCTCTCTCTTTCTTTCTTTTCTTTCTTTCTTCCTCCTTTCTCTCTCTCTTTCTTTCTTTTCTTTCTTCTTTCTTTCTTTCTCTTTCTTTCCTTCCCTTCCTTTCCTTTCCTTCCTTCCTTCCTTCCTTCCTTCCTTCCTTCCTTCCTTCCCTTCCCTACCCCTCCCTCCCTCCCTCCCTCCCTCCCTCCCTCCCTCCCTTCTTTCTTTCTTTCTTTCTTTCTTTCTTTCTTTCTTTCTTTCTTTCTTTCTTTCTTTCTTTCTTCCTTTCTCTCTCTCTCTCTCTCTCTCTCTCTCTCTCTCTCTCTCTCTTTCTTTCTTTCTTTCTTTTTTTCTTTTTTTTTGAGGTGGAAGTATCCTTCTGTTACCCAGGCCAGAGTGCAATGGCACGATCTTGGCTCACTGCAACCTCTGACTCCCAGATTTAAGCGATTCTCCTGCCTCATCCTCCTGAGTAGCTGGGATAACAGGTGCTCGCCACCACACCCAGCTAACTTTTTGTAATTTTTGGTAGAGACAGGGTTTCATCATGTTGGCCGGTCTTGAACTCCTGACCTCAGGTGATCCACCCGCCTTGGCCTCCCAAAGTGCTGCGATCACAGGCGTGAGCCATCGTAACCGAACTGCTCTCTCATTTTTCTGTTTTTTCCTCCTTGTTTCTCCCTCTTCTCTCTCTCCAGCTCAATAATTTATTAGCCATCAGCTCCCAGGCATGGGTTGTTAGTGCTTGAAGGGGCAATGATTAGATTTAGGAAGCATTTTCCCTTCTGTGAGTGGCTTCTCACCCAAAGGCATAGTTTGAATCCCTGCCTGTGGACTCAAAGCCTTGTGGTGTTGAAATGCAAGGTTTTCTCCCTGGAAGGTGGAAGAAGAGCTTCCCCTCCCCCAAGTCTGAGCTGCTTGGGTTCTCACTGAGACCCATTTTGATTGACACTGAGAATCCTTTGTCGAAGCTGCCCCACACTCCCACCCAGCCATTTTCTCTCTGCCACACAGATACACACCATGTTAGCAGTTCAGAGAATACCCAGACATATGGCCTCATAAACACGCATGCATGCCCATAAAGTCCCACAAACATATGGGCACAGGTCCTTAAGTCCACACAGATATTGCTATTGTATGCACAGACAGACACGAGGCTCATAATACACTTACAGTTGCACCCCACAAAGACAGAGAGACACACAACCATGCAGGCACACAGATGCATGCATGGCACAAAAACACATCACAGTCACCACATTCACAGAAGCTCAATGCCACACAGGCACAGAGTTGGACCTCTTGAGAGATACAGGCCCCTTGAGAGCTCCTTTCTTTAATTGCAGCTCAAGAGCTGTCCCCTCAAGGCTACAGGTGGCTTGTGACTTGGCCAAGGTCCCTGAATACTTTTCTTCACCTATGCAGCATTTAACTCTTTTCTGCAATTCCAGCATGTGACCTGTTTTCTGCAACAGGGGAGGTGCACTTACTAACACACTTCCTTTCATTTGCATTGCCCACTGCTGTGAAACCACATTGTCCATGTGCTGCCCGCCAACGCCCTGTGAATTAGGCAGGTGCCTGACCATCACCACAGAGAGAAATTACCTAACTTTGGAAATTTGCCTGAAGTTGCCTGGCCAGGATGTGGGATTAGAACTTGGTTTTCAGGCCTCTGTCATGGTCTCCTGGGGAACCCCCTTCTCACAGATGAGGGCACTGAGCTAGAAAGATCTGGTGTGGGTCCCACCAGATTCACAGCCTCTGCTCTCCTAACTGCCAGCTCAGGGCTTGTCCAGGCCAGGGAGGCCTGGAATTCTGGAAGATGGGGTAGGTGCTGACCCCTGCTCATCTCCTGTCTTCTCTGTTGAGGAAGAGACCCATGGGGGCTGAAGCCTGGGGTCACTAGAGGACGGAGTAGAATGTCCAGGATTCAGGGAACAGAGGAGAGCTCTTTGCTGAGAAGAGGGTGAAGCCTCCCTGGGTGTCTTTGCTAACTTCTCAGGGACATCACTAGGGGAACACCAAGCTACTTCCCCCTCAGGGCTCTGCTAATTAATTTTCATGCTACCTGAATGACCATCAGGACAGCACTTGAGAAATCACAAAAGGCTAGAACGTCATTCTTTCATTTCTGCTTCCCCACAACCCTCTGAAGAAGCAGAGTGCAGATTACTTGCTCCATTTTGCAGATCAGAAATAGCAAAGTGCTTCTGGACATGTTTGCAATTGGCTGCCTCTGAACAGTAGGTATAAAGAGAAGTCACCAAAACAAAATCCAAACCTTTGAACATGAATTATGAGGTCTTTTTTGTGGCCCGTGGCTTCTTCTACACATCCTCCCTGACTCTCGGTGCTCACTTTGTGGCTCAGCCACCCAGACCCCTCACTATTTCTCAGATGTGTACTGTGGTCCTGCTTCAGGGCCTTTGCACATGCTATTGTCTCTGCCTGGAACGTTCCTCACCTCTTTTTCCATCTGGCCACCTGCTGTTTACCTGGAATACTACTGCAGATGTCATCTCCTCCAGGAATCCTCCCTGGCCCTGAGTCGGTTCCCCAGGGTTTTTATAGCACTCAGGCTTCTTGTCTTATCAGAGCACCCTTTACTTTGTTTCTCGTTGCTTCTTTCCCTGCCTGTCTCTCCCTCTGGACTGCTTTAACTCATTTACATACTGATTTAACTCTCTACTTTCTGCTTAGTCCCTGGTTTCTGACAGGGGTGCAGCCAATCTATAAATGAATGAGCAAGTCAATTTTCTTTGCTCAGTGACCATGTGTAAGTAGAAACTTACACATCCTTGCCCCTTAAAGGAAGACACATGCTCTCCCAAGTGAAGATTCATTCATTCACTTATTCATCCAACAAATATATATTCATTCATGTATCTACCATGTACCAGATATTTACATGCACAACAGCACATGTATTCCTGCTGATGCCCTGTGACACAGGTATTATTTGCATATAAATATTCACACGTGTGCATGTGCCCACTGGACAATGCAGTCAACATCACCTGTGACATGCTCACAGAGAATGTGTCTAAGTAGGAGAACACAGGTAAGTGTGAGGGGCAAGAGAGAAAGATGATATAACAGGCCCTCTCCCTGCCTCCCGGGAACTTGCAACAGAGAGCAGAGAACTGCACGGGGATAGAGGGTGCGACAGAACAAATGTGCAGAGGGAGTGTCGAGGAAGCCTCCCATCAGTCACCCTGACTGTAGGAGCCATTTGTCCTGTCATCCCTGCCATGATGTACTCACTAAGGTGACCTTGCCAGCCCCATCCAACCTGAGCTTCAGTGGCCATGGCTCCTTTATTCTGGAAGGTGGGCTAGCTCATGCACTGTCTCCAGCTCTGACCCTCCCTCATGCACCCTTGTGTGGACTGAATGTTTGTGTCCCTCCAAAATTCCTATGTTGGAGCCCTAAGTCCCTATGCAGCTGTATTTGGAGAAGGGGCCTCTAAGGATCTAATGAAGGTTAAAAGACGTCATAAGTGTGGGGCCCTGGGATAGAGTTAGTGTCCTTACAAGGAGAGATGCCAAAGACCCCATGCACAAAGAGGTCATGGGAGCACACAGCACAGGGAAAAGGCAGATGCAACCCAAGGCAAGAGGCCTCACCGGATGCCAACTCCACTGGTACCTTGATCTTGGACTTGCAGTTTTCAGAACCATGAGAAGATCAATTTCTGTTGTGTAAGCCACCTAGACTGCAGTGTTTCTTAAAAGGCATTCCAAGCACACTGCTACACAACCCCAATGTCAATCCATGCGCTCAGAAGTTTCCAGATGCAAGGACTTCCTTCTGCCATGAATTTCTATATAGGACTCCTTAGGGCACCCCTCTGAAGCTGTTCAGGGAGGAAGGAGTGAGGTTGTCAGAGACCTGCAGGAATCCTGTGAAAACATGCATGTGCTTTTCTGAGTTTATGTAACACATAAGCCCTATTCTTTCCCTCCCTCCCTCTCTCCTTTCTTCTCTGTATCTGTTTCTTTCTTTATTTCTTCCTCCTTCTCCTTTCCTTCCTCCCTACTCGGTGCTCCCTTAGCCATATTTCTTCTCATCCTTGTGGACAATAGTTGTTCCTTCCAGGCACAGCTGTAGCGTAGGTCAGATTGAGAGCATGGATTTGGGAGGCTGCTAGAACGGGGTTCAAACACTGAGCTCATGCCTTTGCTGTGAGACCGGTGGCATGATGAGTGCTATCTCCGAACCATGCTGTCAGCTTCTTGCGGATGACATTTGTAATTCCTTTAGTAACTGGCAGTGTTGCTGTGAGGGGTTGGTGACATAATGTTTGTAAGGCCCTTAGCAGGTGCCTGGCACATAGAGTGGCCCATTATTGAAGGTGGACTGCCCTATTCCTGTTGCTG